AGGACGGCATTCTGGTGGCCAGAAAGGTGCCGCCCAACTCCACCTAAAGGGAGCACCTCCTGCCAGCGCAGAGCACCCACCTGGTGGCTGGGGGGGCGCAGACACTCCTTGGTGTGGGCTGAGGCTGGGTGACTGGGGCAGGGTCCCTGCAGCCTGGACTCCCATGACTGCTCCCTTCCTGTGCCTGGGACTCAACCTCCTTGCAGAAGATGCCACGTCTCCTGTCCTCTGTCCCCTGTCTTGACTCGCTCCCCTCCCCGCCCTCTGAGCTCACTGCCCGGCGGCCCCTCCCAGGCACCCACCTCCTTCTGGCGGGCCAGGCAGCCCTCCAGCTCCTCGAGCCTCCTCTCCTTCTCCTCCAGGACCTCCATGGACCTGCGTCTCTCCTGAGCGAGGCGGTCGTCCAGAGCCTGCAAGCAACGGTGCCCGCTGAACGGACCTGGTGGCCGTGCGAGAAGGTGGCTCTGCCAGCTCTGCGTGGGTCCCCTCACTCCCCAAGGCACCCGAGGAGGGTGCTGGAGCAGGCGGGCCCGGATCAGGGCCCCAGGAGGCGTCCCGGGGTGGCCTGAGTCCTACCTCCTTCTGGCGGGCGAGGTGGTCCTCCAGCTCCTGGACCCTCCGCTGCTCCTCCTGCAGGGCCTCCCTGGCTCTGCTTTTCTCCTGAGCACTGCTCTCCTCCAGGGCCTGCAAGTCAGCGAGGCTTGTTGAACAGACCGGTTACCATGGCGGGAATGTCCCTCTCCAGTCCCACCCCACCCAGGGCCGCAGAGCCCAGGAGCCGGGTGTGGGCTCTGGAGTAGGCGGGGCCTTGTGAGAGCCGGGAACTGGACACCAGCCCGAGGGCCTGGCTAAGTGGGAATATACGCCGTGCCTCAGCTTCCCAGGGCCACCACGGGGACAGCCACAGTTCCTTCTGCACCGGGAGGATGGGAAGAATGGGGGGAGGGCTGGCACAGTGGACACCCTGCAGCCCCACTTGCAGAGGAGGAGACAGGCTGAGAGAGAGTGAGAAACCTTGGTGGCACCGTGGTCACGCCTGTGATCCCAGTGACTCAGGAGGCCGAGGCAGGAGGATCACAAGTTTGAGATCAGCCTTGGCAACTTAGTGAGTCTGTGTCTCTAAAAAAGAAGAAGAGGGCTGGGGGGTGGCTCAGTAGTACACTGTCCTTGAGTTCCATCCCCAGGACTGGGAAAAAAAGAAAGAAAAAAAGAAAAAGAAAAAGAGAAAAGAAATGTGCCTGATCTATTAGTGACTCCCTCAGGCAGGGGCTGGAAACCAGAACCCTGGCCCCACTGGATTCTAAAGCCTGGTTCTAAGTTAGGGATCAGCCCACGACGTCCCCGCTGTGCGTGTCCTGAGTTACTGTCGCTCAGTAGCGGAGCTGAGAAGTCGCGTCAGGACTAGCTCGTGGCCAGCTAAACTGCAAGACCCGTCGCCTGGCTCTCCTGGAAGCCGTTGGCCGGGCCTGGTCTACAGCACTGATGGGGGCAGAGGTCAGAGGTGACGTTCAAATTCACAATGAAAAAGAAGTCCTGGGGGGGAGGGAACCAGAATTCCTTCTTCCACCTCAGCACAGTCCTCCCACAAGCAGCCTTCACCAAGAGCTGGGACAGCGGCACAAGGAAGGTCACTGAACAGCAGAAGCCACCACTGGGGCCCAAGAAGTAGTCCCCACAGGGAGAGGAGTGCAGGGCAGGAGCGGGGTCTGGTGGTGGGGGGCTGCTGTCTCGAGGGGGGGTTGGAGGGGACACAGGACAGGCCATTCCACTCCCACCGGCCGAGGTTCTCTTCTGTGGCCGCGTGTTGGAATCAACTCCAGTGTTTCCCGACCCCAGAGCGTGGGCCACGCCATCACCCCAGCTAGACTGGAGCCCAGGGGGTCAGGAGGGGGCAAGGCTGAGTGTTCTGAAATCTCCCAAATGACAAAAGGTGGCCCAAGTCATGAGCTGCTGGCCCAGGCTGATGGAAACGAGGGTGGCGAAGCTCATGGCGGGTCCCTGAGCATCAGAGAGGGCCCAGTTCCAGACCACGATGAGATAAAAGCAGGAAACATGGTTTCCTGGCCTTCTCCAGAGGTTCCCAGGCAGTGGGTCTGCGGTGGGCGCCAACAGCCTGTGTTTTACGGGGCGTCTCACTAAGTTGTTTTCCAGGAAACTTTGGCCAAACCTTCCTCCAAGGCTGCGCTGAGATGCAGACCTGTCGCCTCGGCACCATCTGAAGCATATTGGAACCGCTGAGCCCCAGTCTGCATTGGAGCCAGGTCCCTAGATGGTCCTCGGGCCCTTAGCATCTCACACGCACTGCTACAGGGTGACTTCTAATTGGACAGGTTTCTAGAAAATTTAGTAGCAATTCCGGTCACTTGTTTTCCCTGTCATGTATGAAGACTGGGATGGTCGGAAACTGGTTTGTCACCGTTGCTCTGTCACTTACAAACCAGGGTCTGCTGCAGTGAGGACGATTTGTTATATAACTACAATATAGAAACAAATCAGGCGGCACTGATCAAAATTGCAACGGTCCTGCCTTTTAGGGTTGATTTTGCTGTGAGTTTTAGAATTCGGGCTTCATGTGGAATCCTTCATGATTATTCATCCTGTTTAATAATTTACCTCCTTAGTACTAAGCCAGCCGTCGCTGGGATTTCTCCATCTCAGCACCTGCTCTTAATCTCCCTTAGAAAAGTCTCTTTCGTAGGTTCCCAGCAGTAAGAACAACAACAGGGCGTCCTTACCGTCTTCTCTTCCACCAGCCGCCTGATTTTGCCTTTCAGCTTCTCCTCTTGCGCCAGCTTCTCCTCGTTCAGCTTCTCCTTTTCTGCCCGATGCTCCTGCAGCTTTTCTTGCAGCAGAAACTGGTGGGTTTCCTGAGAGCTGCTGATCTTGATCTAAATTGAGAGAAGAAAGAGGAAGCTGAGGTTGTCAGGGACTGGATGGAGGAGTCATTTCCACACTCACTTGCAAATCGTTTACCTTTTGGGAACAAAGATTTACACAAAAGTTTCTTAAAAACACAGACAGGGGGCTGGGCCTGGGGCTCAGCGGTAGAGCGCTCGCCTAGCACATGCGAGGCCCTGGGTTCGATCCTTAGCACCACATAAAAATAAATAAATAAAGATATTGTGTCCAACTAAAAAATAAATATTAAAAAAACAACCCACAGACAAACCGCACTTAGCCTAGCTTCTGGTGGGGAAGCAGTAGACTATGGAGACCTTGGATCCTGGAACTAGATAAAATCCCAGCTCAAGTTAGTTCTGGAGGCTTCCCCATTTAGAAAATGAGATTAATCATGGTGTTCTGTGTCTTAGAATTGTGAGGATTAAATGGGATAATGACGGAAAGCTTTATGGTGTTTGGTACATAGTAGGTGCTCAGTAAACGGCGGCTGGAATTCTTGGTTACTATTTGCTGGGGGTGGGAGGAGAAGCAGTGATCTGGGAGTCAGAAGGCCCAAGCTTTGTCTTGGTTCTTTTGATGAAGTTGTTCTCATCAGGAAACTCTGAGGGGCACGTGAGCTGTGTGGTGATCAAATAGTAACCCACTTCTCTGGCCTTTGATGTCCATATCTGTGAAACGAGGAGAAGGGACTGGACGGGGTTGACAACTACGGTGCACAGGCAGACCTGGTCCACTGTCTGCATTTGTAAATAAAACTTTATTGCAGCGGCCACGCCCACTGCATGGCTTGTGGCTGCCTTTGTTCTACCATAGCAGAGTTGAGCCTGTGCCTGAGGCCACGTGACCTGCAGAGATTAAGACTGGCCAGGGGCCATTGCAGAGAAAGTCACTGACCGCTGGGCCAGGCCTCTGTGGTGGGTGGAAATGGCTGTCTGATCTGCAGCTTCCTTCGCTAAGTGACATGTCTTTGCCTATGTCACTCCCAGTGCCTGTCCCCCGCCACATCCTGGGACACTGGACTCAGGCCTGTGACTTGCTTTGGCCAAAGTGATGTCAGCATATGTGGCAGAAGCAGAGGACAGGAAAGCACCACGTGGTCTTTTCCGCTGTCCCTTGTACCTGTGCAGTTTTCGGGAGAAGATGTCCAGGCTCCCTCGCTGGGGGACGAGAGACACGTGGAGTCATGCACCCCACTCCAGAGGCCAGCCTGCATCCTCCAAGACCAGCCAACACCAGGAGGCCTGAGCCAGCCCCCCAAGGCCAGCAGGGCCACCTGGTGGCTGACCTGGGCAGGTGAGCAGGCACTAGTAGTTGTTGAATGCCCTTAAAGTCACGTGGCTCTTTATTGCAGCGTTACTATGACAATAGCCATCAGCATGGTCAGCCCCTAGGGGTCACTGCCTGGACCGTGGTAGCCGGACTTCCCACACTGGGTTTTATACACACACTTTTCAAGATCCGATGGCATGGAGCGCTTTAGGTTTCCGACAGGGGAGACAAGCACCGTGGTTCGTTCAGGAGGCTGGCCAGGGCCCAGCTTCCTGTCTTTATCCTTGGCCCGTGGGAGACCTCGGCCACCCTGTCCCCTATCGAGGCTGGGGGCTGACTCGCCATAGAGAAGAAACAGATCTCCAACTCACAGGAGCACACTCCTGTCCAGGAGCTGGACCAACTTGGAGAAAAAGAACTTGAAAGACTTACCTCCAGCTCCTGGGTCTGGCCCATGATTTTTTTATAATGTTCCAGAAGATACATCAGGTACAAAGAGAACCCTGAAACAGAGAAGGGGAGAAGGTGTCAGTTCAACTCCTTTGCTTTCTGAATCATGTCTTTTTAAAAAAAAATTCGTTTATTTTCTGATGACGTCTTGACGGAGCCCGCGGGCAGGCGGGTGCAGGTCCCCCGGCCTCCTGTGGAGAGGACAGAGCTGCCCCTGGACTCGCACTTTTACGATGATTGACGACGGACTTTGCTTGGGCTCCAATCTACGTTTCTTTTTGGAGGCGGGAAATACAGGCCCCTCAACAGAGCACCTATGTTTCCACGTGTCCACTGAGGGCCAGGTGTGGAGGGAGGGGGACGGAGGGAGGCCAGGTGCTCCAGGGCCTTAGGGTTCAACCTGAGAGTCAAGTTCCAATGCCTGGTGGGAGACGAGCAGGGGCCCTAGGTGGCTTGTTGGTGACAGTGAAGGACAGGAGGCATGTGAGGGTCTCCGGGGAGACAGGGATGGTTCGTGCAGAGTGATGGGAAAAGGTGACTTGGAGGAGGACCCCGGGGTGGGGCATCGTGTCGGCAGAACTCAGAAGGGGAGGGCGCTCTGGGCAGAGCCTGTGGCTGGCTGAATGACCCCCACCAACCTCCTGGACCCTGGAGCCGTGGATGTGCCTCACACGGCACAAGGGACTTGGTGAAGGGGCCTGAGGAAGGATTTGGAGGTGGGGGTTCTCCTGGATTATCCGGCTGGAGCCAGCGCCATCACACAGGCTCCGACGGGAAGGAAACGGGGAGATCCGATCACAGACGGACAGACAGAGGAGGTGACGTGGTGGAAACAGAGTCCGAGATGCTGTGCATGGTTGCATAGCAACAAGGTGGAGGAAGGGGCCACAGCCAATAAACGAAGCCCCCGGAGCTGAGGACGGCAGGAAAGCAGATTCTCCCCCGCAGCCCCCGCAGGACCAGCCCTGCACACCCCCTGACGTCAGCCCGGGGAGGCCGCGGGTGGACTGCAGCCTCCAGATCTGTAGGAGGATACAGGCATGTTTTAAGCCACGAAGGTGGTGGTGGTGGTCACAGCAGATCGCAGACCGGTGCAGGGATGAGGTGGGACGGGGACGGGAACCACAGTGCGTGGCTTGGGAGGTGCTGGCTTCCCTGGGCGGCGCTGGCCGCGCAGGAGCCAGGGTGGAGTCTGATGGAAGAGTGCGATCTGCCCAGGGTGGGCCTTGAGCAGTAGCCTAGAACCTGTGAACCTGACCTACGTCCCTGGACCGGGCCGAGGGCATCCTGCGGGCCTGGTCCTCCACGGCGCAGGAAGGAAGGCCTCACCCACCGCCGTGACCCTTTAATAGAGCGGCTCTGAGATGCGTGGCTGCCAGTGGCTGGGCCGGGCCTCAGGGTCCACTTACAACAATTTAAAATGCCTCCAGACATTCTGGGTGTCCCCCAGGTGACATTCTGGGTGTCCCCCGGGGTGGGGAAGTCCCCTCCTCTGAGTTAGAGGCAGAGAGCTGAGCTAAGAGCCCACGGGAGGCCCAGGCCCAAGGCGTCAGGGTTCTGGACGAGTTGGGGGAAGCAGCCCGAGAGGAAAGAATGAGAGAGAGAGAGAGAGAGAGAGAGAGAGAGAGATTGGCCGAGTCTGCTTAGACATGTTGGATTTGATGCACGGAGGGACTCCAAGGAGAGCTGGTCAGCGGGAGCTGGACGTGCCCGGCTGGAAGGGTGAGGCCTTTAGGAAAACGTAGGGAAGAGCTCCCTCCCTCCTGGTGGACGTGGCCTGGGCCAGGGCCACTGCTGCCTTGGCTGGATCCCCTTATGTGGGCCCCAGCTGCGCTCCCGTTCCGGCAGACAGGCCTGTGGACGCGTCCATTTGGACATCATGGGCCAGGTGGGGCTGCTGGACACCTCAGTGGAGAGAGAGGGCAAGAGGGGCAGGACCGAGGCCGCCCTCGGGACACACTCATGTCAGGGACGGTGGGTGGTGAAGGGGGCTGCTGAGAGCTGTGGGGAAAGACCAGGGGAGACCCAGGGTGCTCCAGGACCCGGGCCCCAGGTGGGAGAGGGTTTTGAGGCAGAGAGTCGGGAGCACTGCCAGGCTGGAGGGAGCACGGCCCTGGGGGAGATGGCGGCCTCTTGACACAGCAGGATGCATGTCTGGTACTTGGGGGGGCAAGGCCAAGAGTGGGCAGGGGCTTGGTCATGTGATCGAACGCACTTTTAGAAGAACTTGGAGGCTTGAGGGGAGAGGGCGCCAGCATGAGGAGGCGCCAGGGGAGGAGCTGTAAGGGACCCAGCTGGCGGGAGGAGAGGGGCCTGGCTGACCCTGGCCGGGGTCATTGCGATGCAGGGACCAAGGCCACGTAAGCGAGCGTCTGGGCTTTTGCTCCTCTGCACCTGTGACCCAGGCCTCAAAGGGCAAGGCTTAGATCCTGGGTGAGATCCAAAGAGGACGGAGGGAGAAGGGAGTCCAGGCTGTCGAAGCGGGAGAGGGCATGTTGGGTCACATTCTGGATTAGACGGTGAACTGTGAGCACAAGAGGAGTTTCCTCTTTGGGGGAAGAGCAAGTCTTTATTATATTTGTGATTAGAAAAGTTACATGTGTTCGTTACAAAAAATTCCAATGTTCTGAGAAGTCCATAGTGTGGCTGCTGTGTTGTCAGAGTTGTGGCCAGGGGCCGGCACACAGTGGGCCCTCAGTGAGCAGTTGCTGAATGACTGAGTGAGTGTAAAGGTCGCACATTATCCTATCCTGCTGTGACTATACTCTCAAGGGTTCATTTTTTTTTTTCTCCAGATTTTTCTGTTGGTCAGACACGGACCAAAAAAAAAAAAAAAGGAACACAGAATGCATATTACACCACAACTGGCCCTATTGTCTTCTCACGAGAAGACACTGTGTATCTTGGATATGTGAGAATGGCGAGTTTTCCATGCATGAGGGGAAGCCTTTCATTTGTAACAAAGTCTTGCAGAAACAGACACAAACAACTGAATGAACAGAGAAGAATGTAAGAGTCCTTTGATTCCCTTATCAAGGGGAGCCTGGGAAACCAGGCAGGAGGTGGGTGCAGCGAGTTTCAAGGTCCTGTGGTTGACTGCTATCTGCCCTCTGGACCACGCAGCCGGCCGCCCCACTCACACAGCAGCTGGTAGGTGAAGCCCCAAGGGCCTCTTCCCTGGGCTGGTCCTGACGTCACCCAGCAGAGCTTCCAGCAGCTTCCCCTCCCCATCTGGGCCACCCAAGTTCTAAAACGAGGATGGTGGACCCCATCACTTCATAGAGTTGATGTGAGGTTAACCGAGATAATTATGTAAAATGCTGAGGTTGGTGTCTAGAATAAGAGCTTGATGATGAGTGATGATCACCATCGTCACCATCACCACCACCATCACCATCAC